GAAAACAGTAAATATTTTTATGAGAGTTAAAATCGAAAAGATTTTTATGTTAATTGATAGATAAAGCATATTTACCTCATATAACACAAGACATGTAAGTATGCAAATAAATTTTCATTTAAAATGCAAGTTAAAGAGGCATTCATTTAAAAAAAAAAAGGCATTCATTTAAAATATATTCCTCTCTTAACTGGAACATGTAACTTTTTCAGACTATAGCTTTAATAAAGCCTGGTACCTCTTGCCAGCATTATAAAAATTATGTGCAGAAAAAAATGTGCCTAGCAGATTCCAGATTTTAACCCATTACACTCAGACGTGCAAAGAATGTGTCCTCACTAACCTATTCCCAATGACTAGCTTTTTTGGTCTGGTCCCTGAACTGGTGGTCTTTGTGAGCTGTTCTGCAAAGTAACGAGCAGACGCTTTTGGCAGAGCTTAGAAGAAGGAGCAAAGGAAGAGAATAAGGCTCGAAGGAATATTTAAAAGAAACATCTGTTAATTAATAAACAAAGATGTATTCGTTATCCCTGCTACATATGCATGTGTATACATGATATACAGAAACGCAGAGAAACGGGCTGCAGTGTTAGAAAGCAAACAATTGACAAGGGCACATCTGGAAAGGGGAGTGGAATGTATATCATTGGAATACTTATAGGAAGAATGCCTTTTTTTGTTACTTATGTATTTAAAAACAAAAAATACTCCCACACACTAAAATGAGGGAAAATAGTAGGAAAATAGTAGGAAAAAGTAGGAAAATTGAATTTGATGGAATTATTTTTTTGCCCCCCCCCCGATGGAATTATTTTAATAGACAACTAAGTTAATAATTGAGAACTAGAGAGGATAATATTTTTTTCTCATATTCACATTTCTAAAGCAAGTTATTTTTCCTCGTCTTGATTTTTCTGATCTATAAAATGGGAATGGTGAACGAAGATTAAATGAGTTAATATATGTAATGTACATAACAGTACCTGCCACATTCTGAGGCACCTTTATTGTTATTATCACTGACTTCTGATAGCAGCTGTGGCAGCCATAACTCTTTTCATATATTTCTTTTAGAAAATATCGCATGTTACCTACAGCTCTTGTACAATAGGAATTGAGAGGTTTTTTAAAACTACATTTGGCATAAAACGAATAATAATTCTCACAAATTATCTGACGTAAGGGAAAGTAGAAATTATTCAGATATACAGCAATACAATTTTATCTGGGGAGTAGTCTTCATTTTGATTTTTGACGTCTGCCTTCATGAAGTAACTTCCTCCTCACCTTCACCACGTCTTGCTGGAAATCTACGGGCAGACATTCTTTTCGTACCACTGTGGTTGACTGAGGGAAACACTGGGGTGAGAATGGGTCTCACGGAAAAATGCAGGTCTCGTTTCTCAGCGTTGTGCCTTCACCGCACTCCTTTGTCCTCTTGTCAGGATCTTTGTCAGGCTCTGGAGTCACTGAACAGCTCAGTGGCTGCTCTCTCAGCCGGTGCGCAGAAGGTCGCTAACAGAGGCCGCTCCATTCAGGACGTTGAGACACTACAGCGGGAATACGAGGGGACACTGAGTCAGGCCAAGGAGAGACAGACTGTGCTGGAGAGCCTGCTGGCCACCTGGCAGAGGTGAGCAGCCTTCCTTTTTGAGCTGGTAGCTTGGGTTTCAATAACTTCCCTTAAACAGGAAATCCTGGGCCAGCTGTTCTCTAAGTGTAATAACTTCCCCGGGCGTAGAACACATCGAGTCACGTGTCTAACAGAGAAGACCTCGATCTTTGTTAGAAGCTGACAATCCCCGAGAAGGAAGAGGGTTAATGCATCTCATTCCATGTGATTCAGAGAGAGACA